AATTTTATTTTCAGAATCCACATCATGTTTAAAATGGCTAGTGCTTGCCCAACCACTGGGCGTGGACGGTGGAACGACGGTCTCACTTCATGCAGATCGGCGTTCAATCCTTTTTTTTTTTTATATAATTAACACATTAGGTACATCTGCATTAGTGCAGCTACCCTAGTCTATATGAAGTGGAGTACAGTGTGTCAAAAAAGCTAACTAGGTGATGCTAAAAAATCCCCATCACACAGGATGGTTAGTCATACAGAGGCATGTGATAAGCGGTCTGCACTGGCAGACTCCGGATGCATTTTGAGGATATCAACAACACAAGATTGAATAAGGTAGCAGTGGTAATACAAGTCCCCATCTCGCAGGATGGTTAGTCATACAGGGCCATGTGTTTAATAGCCTGCACTGGCAAATTTTGGGTATACTGTGAGGATATCTTCAAGAATACGAGAGTGAATAAAGTAATTGCAAAGCTCCAGGTACCTCATGCCAACTGGTCTGAAAGGTCTAATAACTGGGCATTCAGTGATGTAGTGCGGGAGATCATGCCGTAGTTCCTGCTCACAGAGTTTGCAACTGGAGTGCTCAGGATTGGGAGACCCGTCACCTGCAGCCACCTGCCACAGGTAATGGTAACCCAACCTGATCCTTGTAACCACTGTGTCGCACAGTCTAGTGGACGTTTTGTGCTGTCCATAGATATAGGTTTCAGATCTGAACAAATCATAGCTTTTATACTAGTACTTTCAGGTCGTTGGGAGTCAGTAAGTTCTTTCCTATCAGATCTGAATGTTTGGACCAATACAGTTTTGACAGCAGAGATGGGGATACCTAGATCTAATTCAACTTCAGATCTAGGTATCCCCATCTCTGCTGTCAAAACTGTATTGGATTATCCCCGACCGTCCAAGTGGTTGGGCACCATTCCTTCCCCCCGTCCCATCCCACATCCTTATCCTGATCCTTCCCAAGTGCTATATAGTTGTAATGGTTTGGTGCTTTCTCCTCATAATTTCCTTCCCTTCCTCCAGCTACGAGAAAAATGAAACTGAACGAAGAAGGGCGAGTGTTTCAAGAAAAATGTGAATTACAGTATTTTTGTACAACGGTGAATGGAAAGATAAATTGTTTAATTTGCAACAACAACATTGACAGGCCAAAAGAGTACATCTTAAAAAGATATTGACCAAACCACACACTAGGAAGTGAAGGGACGACCCTTCACTTTCTAGTGAGTGGTTTGGTCGACATATTTCAGCCACGTTACTGAGACTCCTCGTCTGCTTAAAAATATATTATGAGACGAATCATCGATCTTAGGATAAATATGAAGACCCAGTGCGTGTCTGACGACTAAAGGAATTTAAGGCCAACTTGAGACCTGTTGTTTTTTTGTTTGTGAGACCTGAGCAACAGACCTGTTTTACGAAAATTGAGAAAGGGAATGTCGCTGCCGTTACTGCAAGCTGTGAACTCAGCCATGAGTGGGAAATCTTACAGTGAAGGAAATTCGTAATGCAATGCCTTGGAAAAACGGCTCAAATTGCGTGTCCAGAGAAAACCATTTATTCAAAGATATTTCATTAACAAGGAACACTGTTGCTGAACGGATTGATGAAATGTCAGGTGATTTGAAACATTAACCTTTGATGTTGCCAAGACTAATTTAAGGCTTACTTTTGAAAGCTTGCAGATAGAACTATTAGAAATGCAGTCGAATTCTACACTCAGAGCAAAGTATCTTGAAGTGGGGATACCCTGTTTCTTCTCATATCTTTCTGAAAAGTTTAAAAACTTAAGAAAGTTTGCTACAATAATTAGGGTAATGCTCGGTTCTACCCTATGTGTGTGATCAGTTATTTTCCTTCATGAAATCAACAAAAACGTCTTAAGAGAACAAGACTGACTATCAACACTTGTCATTTCTGATCACAGTGGGAACTATACAGACATTTCAGCCAGACATAGCAATTTTTTTTTATTAAAACGAGGTGTAAAGCCTCGAAACAAAACACTAAAAATGATTGAAAAGTCGTAAATAAATGTTTATTTTGACCTGTTGTAATTTTTGTACAATGTATTTGTTGCTGTTGCATAGAAGTCAACAGCCGTTTAAAATTTAGTTTGTTTTCTTTTGTTGAGCTGCTTCATTACTTTGTACTCATGAATGTGGCTAGCTGCTAAACCATCTGTATGCACATTATATGTTTCTAAGTTTAAGTAATAATAATATTCTGCAACAATTTTTATTAAATGACTTCAATTGTTTGTGGTGTGTGGCCGTCATGCCAACACAAACGTGACCCCTATGGCCCTCGGGGGACCCTCAGAATGGCATTTCTGGCCTTGTATATGGTTGCCAGGACCCTGTTACAGACCTAATCAGGCCTTGTGGTGTAGACTCCCCCAAATTCAATTTCAGGCGAACACGGCCTCAAGTAAATAAATTAGTCTAGGGTTATGTAAAGTCTACGGGAAAAGAACCGCCAGTTTACAGAGGAAAATAAACAGTAACGTAAGCTATTTACATATGTACACGTTACATGAAACTTAGTAATCATTGGCCCTCTCAAACCCTAACTAGATGTTGTTAAGTTAAACTGCTCAAGCACCAGGTACATGAAACTTGATAACACTGGTACACGAGACTTTGCTAGATGTTGTTAATTGGCTTGACTTGGCAAACATGGTCTCCGCAGGGACTCAATCATGTAGTTACTTCAAACCACGAAATATACAAATCAAATAAATGTGATACACTGATAATAATAATAATAACAATAATAATAATAATCCACAATAACCCTACATTCTTACCTAACCTTACATGATATGAAAACTTAAGAATCAACAATATTTTTTAATCGTGCGTAAATTAAGATTAATTAAGGTAGGACTGAGTCCTACCTTAATTAATAGAGATAGAATAAGAACCATGCTATCCCCCCAGATATATGGCTTCATGCATGGAAGGAGTGTGCATCATTGCATCACCACCTTTCTTACCCTGCACACTGAAAAGTCATATACCACCTTCCTTGATCTCAAGTCTGCCTTTGATATTGCAAATAGACATGTTATCTTGAGTGAGCTTGCAAGAATGAATATTGGTGGTCGGCTTCTTTCTTGGATCAGGGGTTACTTATCCAACAGGAAGTCATCTGTATTTTTCCAGGGGCATAGGAGTTTAACAAGAGACTTTGAACTAGGTACCCCGCAGGGAGGTGTCCTCAGTCCTACATTAATTAAACACTTTAGCGCGCCTGGGTCGTAAATAATCGACGCGTATTTTTACCTGGAAGTACACGTGCGTCGTAAATTTACGCACGATTAAAAAATATTTGTATAAAATCCAATTCTTATTCGATCGACTTGGGGATAGTATGAAAATGTTTGCCATTAAATTTCCGTTTTCTCTAATAGGCACATGGCATATTTGGGAGAACGGCATTGTATTGTAACTTAGTGGAAAGACTAAGGAAGACTAATTGTTGACACGGCAAGTGTAATCGCGCACTTCACACACTCTTGGTGTGGGCCGATAAACATGCTGTTAAACTCTGTACCGAGCAAACCTAACGTGCACATCATTAGCTATGCTGATGATATAATGATACACACCACTGGGTATGCTATCACGCAGAACACTCTTAACTCTGTATTAGACTCATGTCAAGATCTTGGTTTAGTCATCTCACCAGAGAAAGCAAAGATACTAAATCGGCGCCCACCCAGGCAGGGAGGAGCTGTTCGCAAGATGCAACTGTCTGATGGCTCCCAGCTTGACTATGTAAACAGATTCAAATACCTTGGCCTTGAGGTGCCACTGTATGGTCCTGTTGTATTCAGACTCTGTCGTCAGTATAAAGAGAGGCTCCGAGCTCTCAAGGCTGTTGCAGGTTATCACTCAGGCTATGGTGCCAATGTCAGAATTGTCAAAATGATGTACCTTGCATACATCAGATCTTTAGTGGATTATGCTGCACCTCTGCTTGCTTTGATGCCTGAAAGAAAGCTTGGAGGGCTTGAAAAATTGCAGAACGAAGCCTTGAGGATAATCCTTGGGTGCCCTCGTACCACAAAGATACTTAACATGAGAAAGGAACTTAATATTCCGAGCGTCGTTGATCGTGTTACTGAAATTAACTGTCAAATTGGTATAAAAATGCTTAGGCTAACTCATCCTAACCCTTGCACAGAAGCCCTCCAGAATTTCTTTATTGAAGGTCAACATTGTTCCAAATGGATAACTAAAACTGGAACTGAACTCATAATGTATCAGATTTATAATTTGTACCAAGAGAGACAACAACGGCACTTTCCTGCACCGTGGGAGATTACACCCTTTCCAATTTTAATCCCTCCCTTTCCAAGAAGCAAATTAGGGATCAGCCCAAGCGTCGTCTTGAGGCAAAGCTCAACGCCTTAAGCCATATTGATGCTCTGTCCACAGAGCATTCTCTCTCTCAAATCATATACACTGATGGTTCCCTACACCGCCCCACGGGTGCAGCTGGAAGTGCAGTTGTCCTGACAATGGGCGATGGCTTATATTTTGAGTGGGGAGTCCGTATAAACAACTGGGCCTCTACCCTTCAGACCGAACTATTTGCCTTGCTCCTTGCACTGAAATGTGTACAAGTCTCCAAACTTGATACATTAATTGTAAGTGACTCTTTATCATCCTTAATTGCTCTCAACTCTTTAAGACATAACTGTAACATGCTCGTGTCTGAAGCTAGACACAAATACAACAAAATTATTAATGATGGTAACAGAGTCCATTTCATGTGGTCTCCATCTCATGTTGGCCTCCGAATGCATGATAGAGCTGATAAGTTAGCCAAAGAATCTGCCTTTAAAGGAGAAATTGAGTATAACCTTGGATTGTCAATAAGCAATCTGAGAGCAGCAGTACACCAAGAACTTCAACAAAATCTTGTAGATCTGAGGCAAAGTGAAATCGACACCAGTAATTCCATCTATCATCATACTATCATGCAAGAGGAGCCACACATCTATGGTTCATCCAATAAAATCAGCAGACTTCTAGATGTTACTACTGCTCGGCTTAGACTCGGTTACAAGTATCTCTGGGAATTCTCATTATCTGCTGATGTAGACCTGACCAAATGTAAACTGTGTCAACAAAATTATTCGCACACCCTCCGTCACTATGTGATGGAGTGCGAAAAGATACGTGAATTCAGAGACAATTCTATAACCAATGTTCCAGCGATGTGTAAATATTTCATTCAAAATGATCTGCTACCAGAAATTTTAGCCAAATATCCCCAGTTTGCTAACTGTAGGTAGTAACTAAGTGATTGTAACCTATCCACCGCTGCCCACTGGATGGGGGGCGGTGTGCAGGACAAACATATCAATTGTGACACTAGCTCTCCACATATGTCAGTTGCTTAATTTAGAAACTGTACTTGTGGTCGATCTCGAACCCATTGTTGATGTGACGACTTATATTGAATTTTGTAACTAGCTCATCAAGATTGTAACTTGTTTAGCTAAATGAATTGTGGGGTTCAGTCCCTGAGCCCATTATGTGCCTCTGTAACCCTTTCCACTACCGCCCACAAGATGGGTATGGGGTGCATAATAAATGAACTAAACTAACTCCATTCATCAGAGTGCCAGTAGGCAGGGTGCTAGTAGGCAGGGTGCCAGTCATTAGAGTGCCAGTAGGCAGGGTGCCAGTAGGCAGGGTGCCAATCATCAGAGTGCCAGTCGGCAGGGTGCCAGTCATCATAGGGCCAGTCGGCAGGGTGCCAGTCATTAGAGGGCCAGTCGGCAGGGTGCCAGTCATCAGAGTGCCAGTAGGCAGGGTGCCAGTAGGCAGGGTGCCAGTCATCAGAGTGCCAGTCGGCAGGGTGCCAGTCATCAGAGTGCCAGTCGGCAGGGTGCCAGTCATCATAGGGCCAGTCGGCAGGGTGCCAGTCATCAGAGTGCCAGCCGGCAGGGTGCCAGCCGGCAGGGTGCCAGTCATCATAGGGCCAGTCGGCAGGGTGCCAGTCATCAGAGTGACTGTCGGCAGGGTGCCAGTCATCATAGGGCCAGTCGGCAGGGTGCCAGTCATCAGAGTGACTGTCGGCAGGGTGCCAATCATCAGAGTGCCAGCCGGCAGGGTGCCAGTCATCATCGGGCCAGTCGGCAGGGTGCCAGTCGGCAGGGTGCCAGTCGGCAGGGAGTCAGGTGGAGGGAACGTGTCTCCTGGAGCCACGACTGCCAGTGCCACAAGCCCGGCCGCGAGTGGGGCACTTTTCTATTTTTACTACAAGGGGCAGCGAAACGACGTTGCCATGGGAATATTGCTTGCTGCTGGGGTGGGCACTGTGACCTGTGTAGTACTGGTGCTTGATGCTGGGGTGGGCACTGTGACCTGTGTAGTACTGGTGCTTGCTGCTGGGGTGGGCACTGTGACCTGTGTAGTACTGGTGCTTGCTGCTGGGGTGGGCACTGTGACCTGTGTAGTACTGGTGCTTGCTGCTGGGGTGGGCACTGTGACCTGTGTAGTACTGGTGCTTGATGCTGGGGTGGGCACTGTGACCTGTGTAGTACTGGTGCTTGATGCTGGGGTGGGCACTGTGACCTGTGTAGTACTGGTGCTTGTTGCTGGGGTGGGCACTGTGACCTGTGTAGTACTGGTGCTTGTTGCTGGGGTGGGCACTGTGACCTGTGTAGTACTGGTGCTTGATGCTGGGGTGGGCACTGTGACCTGTGTAGTACTGGTGCTTGATGCTGGGGTGGGCACTGTGACCTGTGTAGTACTGGTGCTCGATGCTGGGGTGGGCACTGTGACCTGTGTAGTACTGGTGCTCGATGCTGGGGTGGGCACTGTGACCTGTGTAGTACTGGTGCTCGATGCTGGGGTTAAGGGTTAAGGAAAGTTGTACACGTTCGTAAGTACTTGCGTAACTGCTTCGTGAATCTGGCTCCTGGTGGGTCAGCTGTCGTGGTTGTGGACTCTAGGCGCTCGCGACATTCTTCTGGTGCTTCGCCCTTGAGGGTCCGACCTGGGCGGACGTGGGGGAGTATGCTAGTCCGGTGTCTGGTGCCGGTGAGGATAGTGGGGTGCCTGGGGGCCCTTGACGTGCCTGGTGTTACTGTGGTGCATGTTGTGGTAGCGGCTGATGGTGTGGCAGCTCCTGTGTCTCTCCGTAGTGCCCCTCCCCGTGTCACAGTGCGCGAATTCCCCAAAGTGGAACGTTGTTGCACCCGAGGTGCCTTTCAGAGATTTCGTTTTGTTGGTTTTAGGCGGAAGAACGCCGTGACGAAGGACGCCGTGACGAAGGACGCCGTGACGAAGAACGCCGTGACGAAGGACGCCGTGCAGTCGGGCCCCTTGTCAGGGGTTACCTGTGGAGCCGCCCCCCCCCCCTATGCCTCTGCCCCCTGTGTGGGGTGGAGGCTGTGAGGCGTTTCTACGATAAGGAGATTCCGGAGTTTGAGTTGTCTTACGCAGTCGGAAGGCGGACGCCTTACCAGGTGGGATTGTGCGCTGTGGCGCTTACCTTGTACTGTGTTCGTGTATGCGTGTTTGAATGCCTATGTTTCTTATGGATTACTCAGTCTGTGTTGTGTCCGGTGTTCTGTGGGACATTTTGCTCTGGTGCTTCGGTGCCTTCATTTATGTATCGCCGGTGACGGCTGTCATGGTTCTGTTATTGTTTATGTTTGTCATTTTTTTTGGGGGGGAGGGATACTTTGTTTAGTGTAATTATTCTATCCACTTTTCCTGTTTTCCGTGTTGGACTGTACTTGTTGTTTGTACCTGTGTTCTTTGTTATGCTGTTTGTTTTGTTCATGTGCTGTGTTCCTGGATTTTTGCTTTTGTTGCGTTATGTGATGTTTTGCTTTTTTGGTACACTGCTCCTGCGTTTTGCTTGTTGCAATGCTATTTTCCCTGTTTTGTTGTAATGCGTTGTTCTGTTCTGATTGGTGCTTTGGCGCCCTTTTTATTATATGTACTTTTGTTTATAAATAAATAAATAAATAAATAAATAAATAAATAAATAAATAAATAAATAAATAAATAAATAAATAAATAAATAAATAAATAAATACATAAACTATTATATATATTTATATCAAATACTGCATAATGAATTACATTGTAATCGAGGTACCTGGACACTTAAAGGTATGACCTCAGCATATCCATTCTGAGCTGGTTAGGCTGGGTCATAACACAGAGTCAAATAGACAGAAAGATCTGGGGGTTGATATCACACCGAACCTGTCCCCAGACGCCCACATCAAAAGAATGTCACCAGCGGCATATGCTAAATTCGCCAACGTAAGAACTGCCTGTAGAAACTTGTGTAAGGAATAATTCAGAACCTTGTATACCACTCATGTCAGACAAGTCCTGGAGTATGCAGTTCCAGCCTGGTGAACATTCCTAGTTAAACACAAGGCAAAGTTAGAGAAGGTTGAGAGGTATGCCACCAGAATAATACAAGAATTGAAAGGTATGAGTTGCGAGGAAAGGCTACGGGAGCAAAACCTCACCTTCCTAGAAGACAGAAGAGTAAGGGGAGACATGATCACTACCTACAAAATTCACGGAGGAATGTACAGGATGAACAAAAACAAACTATTTAGCGTGGGTGGAACATGAACAAGAAGACACAGGTGGAAACTGAGTACCCAAATGAGCCACTGTCATTAGAAAGAACTTTTTCAGTGTCAGGGTAGTTAAGTTATGGAATGCATTAGGCAGTGATGTGGTGTAGGCAGACTTTATAGAATTTCAAATGTAGATTTGGTAGAGCCCAATAGGCTCAGGACTCTGTACACCAGTTGATTGACAGTTGAGAGGAGGGATCGAAGAGTCAAAGCTCAACCTCCGCAAGTACAAGTAGGGGAGCACAATTAGGTGAGTACACGTTGGAACTCTAATTTATAAAAACAAAATATACAGTATTTTAATACGGTAGATGTATACTCTGAAGGAAGTAAGAAATAAAGTTTTATTAGTGTGAGAAATTAAATATTCACGTCTAAGACAAATACCTCAGAAAAAAACAATATGACTTTTTTTATCTAAACCCATCTAATGTCACTCACCTCTCAGGTGGAAGGCTTGATTATGTAATAGGTCGTCGTCTCTTAGACAATGTTGTCCACGGATCTGTAGCGCAAGAGTTAATGAGTGATCACCGTGCCTTACTTAACACATACACAATCAAAGATGTTCAATCACATCATTATAAAAGGACAACAGTTAACATCCCTGACTTTACAGATGCACTTCAAGCTCAAAATATACGACTGATATCAGTCATATACATTTACCAATGTCAATGGCCTATATGAGGACAATGTTGATGAAGTAACACATGATTATGTGAAATAAGGGGAAGCCTCAGGGGCCAAGAACTAATAATAGAGGAGAGCTGTGACTCACGCCTGAAGTCCGTGCATGATCATGTGCTACATGTTGCTGAGCATTATAGAGCTCACAAAACAACTGAGACGCTCAATGCATTTCTTCAAGATAACCGCGCCTTCAGGGAACTGAAAGAACGTGTACGTAGTCAATATTGGGAACAATTCTTACAGGGCATCAATCATGCAACATCCTCGGCCCAAATGAGCGCCAAAATTAAAAAGATCTCCAACCCTAACACCCCTCAACTTGCTCATCACTCCCTAACAGCTTATGCTGGCATGCTGCTGGAACAGTATGCAAGTGTTGCTTGCATATCTAATCTGCCCCAAAATATACAACATTTTGCTAGTAATAATGTTAATAGGGGTTTTAATATTGAAATTGCCTGTAGTGAAATGGGTCCAGATGATGCTAATGACATTTCACTATTTGAGCTTGAAACTGCACTAAGAAGGGCAGAGCCACTTTTCCTGGAGACAATGGCATAACGTACAGTACCCTGAGGCTTCTTGCCGACACACCTAATAGTCCGCTGCTAGAACTGTACAGACAAAGTCTACGCCAAAGTGTCCTACCAGACCGTTGGACCCAAAGCCTCATAATCCCTGTATCTAAGCCAAACTCGAACAAATTTAGGCCGATATCTTGAACTTCTTGCATGTGCAAGGTCTTTGAGAGGATTATTCTCAGTAGGCTAATGTTGCCAATCAAAAGTCAACTCGCTTCTAACTTGCATGACTTTCTTCCAGTGAGAAGTACACAATCTTGCTTTGCTGAGTACTTCATCAGACAGGAACCAAACACTCACGTTGCCTTTATTGACCTCCAAGCTGCTTTTGACACAGCTAACAGGGAACTCATCCTAGAGCAACTAGCATTTTTTTTGTGTCAGAGGGAGATTTGTTGAGCTGGATTATGGGTTATTTGAGTAACAGAACTGCCGCAGTCATCTATAAGGGGGTTAAGAGTAGCTATAATGCCGCCTTTGAGGCACACCTCAGGGAGGAGTCCTCAGTTCTATGCTTTTCAATATGCTGATGCATAGACTAATAGCTGACATACCTACACAAGTCGATGAGGCTGTCATCTGCTATGCAGATGACATTTGCGTCATTACAAACAGTGACATCCGGCTACAGACTCTCCTTAATACACTCGCAAATAAATGTATTGAATGTGGGCTTATCGTCTCCACAGCTATAACCAGGACCTTATCCCCCCCCCCCCCCCCCCCGCCCTCCTCAAAAAAATCAATAATATTCCTGTTTTTAAAGTCAATGATCAGCGCATTAAAAACTGCAGAAATAAATAAATACAATTGCCAGAATTAGGCAGGGATATTGATATCTATGACAAGTGGCTGCAGGTAATGAATCTCCCAATGGAGAACATTCCAATTGTAAACTATGTGAACAAGAGCTGGGACACACTCTCCAACACTATATCTGTGATTGCCGTGCAATAAGTGACTTTAGACCAAATGGTATGAGGTACTTTGAGCTCTGTAATTACTTCATTCACTCAGGAATCTTGGAAGATAGCCTTGTGCTGTACCCAGATTTTGCTAGTGGAGGCTAATAGATCAGCCTTACATTTCACGTTCTCTCCTGATTTTTAGTCAGAGTTGATTTGTTTTTGTATTGAGACTGGTATTTTCTTCCCTGATTCCATGTATGACTAACCATCCTGTGAGATGAGAATATTAGATGAACTTAAAGCTAGTTTCTTATCTACACTATGTAATCTTTCATATAGAATAGGGTAGCAGCACATTGTTCCGTATACTGAATTTGTTTATAAAAACAAAACAAAATAAAACAAATAGACATTTGTATTTGTTTAGTTACAAAAATATATAACAAAAATATACATGTCAAATCAAACATAAATACATGTCCATTGAAACAAACATACATGTAAAATATTAGTGTCAAGAAGACGAAGGGAATTAAGTTGGTAAGTAGTAATGCAGTGTTGTGTGGAGATGTGGGTGGGGGAGGCGTGGGGCGGGGTGAGTCAGCTGGCGGCGGCGGCCAGAACAAGGCAGGGCGCTGCACTCCACCTTGGGAGGTGACACTGCGCCCCTCCCCGCCCCACAGTGGCAGTGTGCCCCTTGCCACAGTGGTCGAGGCATCGCTGCGCTGCCCCAGTGTGTGTGTGTGTGTGTGTGTGTATGTGTGTATGTTTGAGTGCGTCCGCTCTCGCGTGGTGAGATGGAGGGCGAAGGTTCACCTGCTCCCGCAGACAGGCTTCAGCTGGCGGTGAGTACAGACAGGCGTTGTCGCCATAGATATCAACACTCTTACACTACTCCCACGCGCGCCTCTTCTCACCGGTCTGTAACCGGCTCCTGTAGGGATCTGTACCTCGACACTGACCACCGTAGCGGCTGTCAAGTACTGGTTGTAAGCCAGCGGCGAGGAAGCAGCGTGCGTGTGTGCCCCTGGCGGGAGGAGGAGGAGGAGGCGAGGGTGCGGGTTGAGGATGGCGTGACAGGGTAGCGGCGGCCTCGCCAACCCCACAGAAAATGGGAGGAGGGTGTATTATGTTGCTTTACCAGATACTTAAATTTATTATTTGTTTTCATATTTCATTCATTCATTTCTTTCTTTTTTATGCACCTCATATACATCCCGTGGGCGGTGGTGGAAAGGGTTATAGAGGCACATAATGGGTTCAGGAACTGAACCCCATATAGTTCATGTAGCTAAGCAAGTGATAATTTTTTGAAGCTAGTTACACAATTATTAATGTTATATATACATATACAATCATTTACACAAATACATATACGCTTTGTTTTCATATAGCTTCATATCTGTACCTTTTTTTTTAATTAAGAATTAATTATTTTAGAATGGGACTATCTTAAACAAAAACAAAAAATAGCCTTTGCAACATCTGACAGATTTTTTTATTGACCAGCTTTTGCACAGAGGACTGTTGCAATTCTGAAATAATTAAGCTGCTGTCTACTTAGTTATGAGTTTCTGACTGTCAATGATTTTGAATGGTACCAGTTCAACTTGCAAGAAGGTTGCCCAGGTACTAAGTCGTATATTATTTTCAATTGTGCTTCCATCGTGCTGAT